CCGCGGACTCCATCGCGCTGTGCGTGAACCCAACGCCGCCGAAACGATCGAAAAGGAAGACCAACACGGGCACATGGCCCATCTCGGCCACACGCTGCACAAGAAACGGTGGCAGCACATGGAGCGCTGGCTCCTCGTGCCAGAGGTACTCGGCCACGGCCACATGGTTTTGCACACAGGCGTGGGCAAATGAGGCGTAGTCCAAGACAGCGCCGATTTCGTGGACGAAACGAACGACTTCGACATGTCCACTAAACGCTGCGTTGTGCAGCACCTCGGGCGTATAGTGGTTGGCGTCATGCTCAGCGAGGAATTGCAGCAGATGCATATGTCCAAAGCTGGCAGCGACGCGCCACTGGATATTGTGCACGGAGTTGTGGTTCGTCGCCAAAAGCGCCTCGACGACCGAGATGTTGCCACCTAGGAGGCCTAGACACAAGGCCAGCTTGGCTTCGCGCAGAAACGTCCAGTCAAAGGTTGCGCAAGCCGCCCAGAGCTCATCGGTCCACTGGAGGTGCGCGTGGACGACAGCGGGGCTGCGCGGATGGGACGACGTCGCAAATAGTCGTACAAGCCACGAGACGTCGACGCGCGCAATGGACGCCCGGTACTGCGGCGGAAGGCCCAGCTGGTAACCAAAGATCTGGCGGAGCAGGTCCCTTGAGCCAAGGACGCAAGCAATCGCAGACGACATTGCCGCTCTAAAGGTGGCGTGGCGCAAGACTGGAAATTACTCAAAACTGTAAATGACAAAAGAGGGTACAAGAAGTGTCGTCAGAGTTCACTTCGTGCTGGACTGAAGGAGGCGTTGAGACTGACGGGTTGATTTCGATACTTTGCCATGCTCGACGAGCGCCCGGACGCTGTGTGTTTGATTGGCATTTTCCGGGGACCTGGTCCACACCGTTTTCTCACGCAGCGCTACAACATGGTTATGGCGACTCTCGGCCGACACTTGGACGGAGAGGGGACAAACGGCTCAAGCAGAGTCGTGAATATCGGCGCCTTTAAAGACACATCACTTCCAGGCCGTGTCATATCATACGTCCTGCACATTTAGCATTCGCCAGGCTGGTAGTTTGTCTACACGCCCCAACTCGTCGCGATTCGAGAGAGACAGTAGGGGTAGTCAGATAGATATCTCTGTAATTTCACCTAGGTACGCAGCTTGCTTTATTTTTTCGCGACGCGTTTAAAAAAATTATTCGAGCACCCACAGAAGCTAATTCCACGTTCGATCTGGAATTAGGCCTACACACATGGAATAAAGGACTCAGAATAGCCAATTCGAGTGAAAGTCACAATAAAATGAATCGATATATAACCAATGGGTTGGCCGGATTGAAACACGACACGCCGAATTAATTCCCTGGGATGCTGGTACACCACGTAAACGTTCCTACCAGGATTAATGGATCGACTAGAATAGAGTCACGTAACAAAGCAGAGAGCAAAGAGCACAGAGCACAAATCAGCCAGCCGCCACCGCCAACGTCATCAGCCATCGACCCTCAGCAGCAAGATCCATATCATCCGACCCCGAAACCCGACCCAAACAAAAAAAACATATCCAACGCGCCACGCCACCAAAACTAAAACATATTCATCCAGCCCACCGCCCAGCTCCACGCCTCGAGGACGAAAACAAGTCAACAAGCCCAGCGCGAAAACGAAAACACTTTCATGTACGACGACCGACCGAGACGCCAAAACAAAACAACTCGACCAGTGTCGGCACCACGAGCATTCAACCTTCATCATCATCAGACCACCCGACATTTCGCGTCGGTCCCCAAGCCAACGACTTCTATCAGCC